CATGTCTCAGTGGATGTTGTCTCATGTCTTAGTGGATGTTGTCTCATGTCTCAGTGGATGTTGTGGCATGTCTCTGTGGATGTGGTGTATTGTCTTTAACTCACGTGTAAACAGTGGCAGCTGAGACTGGATGTTGTTGATGTAGACGTGTCCTGAAGCATGAACTTTAATCACCTGAAAAATTCATCTTAACATCATTTGGCTGAAATTTGTTGGATTTAAAAACAACAAGTTTGATTTAATTTGAATAAAACCATTTTGTACTCTTTCATATTGTTGATGGTGGTTTGGCTAACAGTTAGCCTATTATGGACAGAGACTTGTGTCCTTTTGTCCAGCCTGCATGATGGATGTCCCGGCTCTGACGGTACCAACTACTCAGAACTGTCAGACAGAACACTGTTTCAGAAATTACCAGACTCTCCCTTTAAACAGGACCGCCTGTTGTGTTTTTTCTCCACTTTCATGAAAGCCGTTCAGTTTGTGTGCGTGCATGCGCATGTGTATGTGTGTGTGTGTGTGTGTGTGTGTGTGTGTGTGTGTGTGTGTAGACCTACCAAAGAGTTGGTGTCCAAGGCCAAAGTGACGGCTCTGAGACAAGTCCTGGTATCAGCCAGACCACATTTGTCCAGGTCCACCAACACAGTGTACAAGGAGCCGTTGCTCTGCTGAAACACACGGATCCTACATGTGAGCCAGAACACTATTGTGGTGCAGAATATGTGTACTACATGCAGAACGTGTACTATGCAGAACATGTGTATTACATGCAGAACATGGGTACTACATGCAGAACATGCGTACTATGCAGAACATGTGTACTACATGCAGAACATGTGTACTATCATGGTCTCAGGTCTCTGTGAATGTCGCTTCATGTCTCAGCACATGTTGTATCATGTGTCAGTTGACGTTTGTTTTAAAACTGTGTTTTAAAACTTCAGATGGGTCCATCATACCAAATCTGACTGTCAGTCCGTGCACGATGGAGCTCTTTAGAACTCAGAAGTGTGAAAGCTGGGTGTTGGTCGTGTTCTAACCTTGGTCAGAACGTAGGAACAATCCCCGTGGAAGGTGTACGTCTTTCCATCGAAGGTGTTGATGTGAGCTCCGCCCTCCACAGAACACCTTCCTGGACAGTTCTCCTCTGAACACGACCAGCGGCCGTTCTCACACACACTGTTCAAACACACAGAGGGGAGGTCAGTAAAAACAGGCAGGCCACAACAAGATTACAGGCTATCATTCTGACTTGGACTGTTAATGAGCGCCTGTCGCTATGGTGGTAACAATCAGCTGCATCATGATGCTGCCACCACCATGCTTCACTGCTGGGACGTGTGATCAGTTCCTTTGACCTCCTGTTTGTTTTTTGCTCAGCTTTACAGCTAAGATGCTTTCTATGGACAGGTGTGGGCCTCAAATCAGGTCTGATCACTTTGATGTCTCTCAGGTGGTCTTAGATCCAGGTGCTGGAACATCTCAGCAGAGATCAGGAGGAACGGGAGGAACATGAGCTGAACTTAAAGGTTCTGTTGAGAGATTTTGGGACACTTGGCGGCCATTTGTGTGTGTTTGTGTCTGTGTGGCTGATCCGGTGTGGGCGGGGATTTTGTTGTATGATTGTTTTTCTCTTTGTGTGTGTGTGTGTTCTAAAAACAAAAGTCAATTAAAAATATTTTGATTAAAAAAAAAAAGCTTCTAGATATGTCTACAACTCTTAATTTGTTTGATAAGTTAAATATAATCCAGATTTTGGACCTAAAATTTGTTTCTGTTTGATCCACTAACAGAACATCTGGAGTTCTGATCTCACCAGGATCTGCAGCTGTGTGAGTACGACTCTCCTGATTGGTAGGTTCTGTTGCCGTGCAGACATGGACACTGACTGACAGCAACACATCCAGTGTAATCGATATCATCCAGTACGGTTCCTAAGGAAGAGAGAAGATATGGACATCAGTGAGACAGGAGTGGCTCTGCATGTCCTCTCAGTATAAAGTCCAACAGGTGAGTGTTACCTGCAGGGCAGCTGCAGCCATCATGGCAGTGATTATCACACGTCTGACTGGCCTGAGGGTTGGAGCAGCTGTCAGGACAAGGACTGCTGCACTCCAGGAACTCCATGTTGGACGGACACGTCTTATCTGTGAAAACCATTTGGTTTAAATGAGGACAATGTTTGACCCAACATTTGTGCAACACGGCGGTGCTGAAGCCGCGCTGATGTTCTTACAGCAGAAGGTTTCGTTCCTCCAGGCTGTGGGGCTTCCTCCTGCATGGACACACTGTCTGGAGAACTCTGAGATGGTTTTACACAGGACCAGGTCCGAGGTGTCTTCAGAGCTACACATGTCCACCATGCAGGCTTCAGTGAAGGACCCGACATCCAGGAGGTTCTGACAGCTGCTGAATGCATCACTGGAGAAGATGTCCTCACAAAGAGCCTGAAGAAAAACATCACATACTGAAAAGTCTGACCCGGTCTACGGCAGGTTCTGACCGGGTTAGGATCAGACTGAGGTGGTACCTGAGCCTCACAGCTCGGAGCTGGGCTGAGTTCTGGTTCCACGCAGGATTCCGTGGGTCCGTTCACCTTGAAGGTTTCAGCGTAATCCACCACGGATAGCAGAACCCCTGCAGGAGGACCACCGCCACACAAGCACAGCATGACTCTCAGCTACTACCACAACGCACATCAACAACCATCTCTGTGAACTTGCTGTGGCGGCCATCTTGAATCCTGTAACCTTTCCTCCTTCAATAATAATTTTAATAAAACATTTTATCATATTTTTCCAATAAACCAAAAACTGATTTTATTTCCAGAATCCCAAAGATGGAAAAAACTTATCAATAAAAAAACTTTTAATTTATATTTTAAATAAAGTAAATTAGCATTTTGCTAATATTAAGGTAAAATGTTTTTGTTACATTTTGTTCTGTTTTTACTTCATTTTACTTTTAAATACTTTGAGCAACAATCTGCAGTAAAAAAAGATTATTATAAAATAAACTTGATCAATAAATAAAGTTTAACATTCAATGAAGCGTATCAATAAATAAACTTTATCACTGAATAAAGTTTAACATTCAATGAAATTGATCAATAAATAACAAAGTTAATAAATAAATAACTCACCATCTTTGATGAAATCATTGGAAATCCCGTCAAAGTTTCCACACAGTCCACACGTCTGGTTCTGATATTTTTTATCTATTTCAAGCTGTGAAGATATTAAAACATCACTTTATTCAATAAAAAGAAAAATAGATTAATATAATAAGACAAAAAGAAATCAGACATTTTGTCTGATCATTGAAATTTAATTTTATGTTGGAAAAACTTAGAAACAAAGCAGCAAAACGTTCTGGGTTTTATCATATTAAAATGTTAAAAGTATTTTGTATGATTGTGTTTCCCTCCTGATGGTCATCAGGGTCACTGGTTCAGATATGTGGACCGTGCCCGGGTCAATCTAACAAAGTAGAAGGTTCAGGAGACACATGAACTTTGTGGACAACATAAAGTTTACCAGACAGGACACCACCAACAACAAGTTGCCTTTATGGACAGTCTGATGGGCGGAGATGAAGCCTCAACACTGAAGTTTGAAGTTTGAGCTCCACTCTGCAGATCTGAAGCTCCTCATATGATTTAATGACAGAAGTCCAGTTGTTTTGTTTCTGGAATGTTTTGCGTTTGTCGTGTCCTACGTGACTGAGAATCTACACCAGCAATCACATGATGTGTTGACGTGAGCTTCTTACGTCAAAGGAGTCGTCCAGGTTCCAGACAGCTTTGATTCCAAGACTGGCTTCAACAAAGATGGACGATGTTGTTTCTTTGATCTTGACTCCAAAGGCAACATGTGGCAGAGACACCCTGCAGCAACACACAGAGGCTAAATCTACCACTTTATTTGTTTTAAAATTAATAAAACACAAGATCACCAAGGCCTGGTTCTGGACTGAGCCCAGATGGGAACTGGACCTGGTCCTGAGTTGAACTCACGTCTCCTCATTGACCGTCACTGAGTTGTTGGAGATCTCCAGGACCAAACCGTCCAGCTTCATGTTGATGCTGCTGATGGAGGAGGAGGAGGACGAGCTGCGCCTCATCGACACGACGAAGCCTTCGTAGGTCCCTCTGCACTGGGACACGAGGATGTGGTTGCAGGTGGACGGAAGCTGGAAGAACTGTCCGTCAAACGTCTTGTAGTGATGATGTCCCCATGTTGTGCACACCCGGCCGATATGAGACACGTTGGCTGCAGAAACATTTCAAAACGTGCTGCATCATCTGATAAAAACGGGTAAAATAAAACACGTTTCCTTGGTTACCTGAGTCCAGGTTCAGAGTCTGTAGAGAAGGAATGATGTTGACTGCAGAAAAAAAACAAATACTTGTTTTTATAAATTTTTATCAAAATGAATCATAAGGCGTGGATCCTAAAGGGTAATTTCAGATTAGTTTCATAGAAGAAGAAGTAGAAGAACAACAACAACAATATTAACAACAACAACAACAATGTTAATAATATTAATAATAATAATAATAATATTATCATCTTCCGTGCTGTCCACTTTGCCTCAGACAGATTTACGGAGTAATGTGACTGATGACCTTTGACATCTGATCTCTGTGGAAGATGTGATGGACTCTGGTTTCAAAGTCAAAGTTTCTTTTTTTGTCATACGCACCACATGTGGTACATGCGGTGGAAAAAAAAAATGTGTGTACACAGGGTCCCAGTTACATCCAACAAAAGTATAAAATGTAAAAGAAAAACAGTAATAAGATCTAAGATATGAACTAAGAATAATGTTAAACTAAAAATACAAAGTACACTAAGCGCTAGTAGTATAAAAATAATACGCTGAACAGCAGCACGAACATGAGTCTGTGTGAGCAGATGAGGACGAATGAACACAGCAACATGAAACAGATCAGCAGCAACATGAAACAGATCAGCAGCAACATGAACCAGATCAGCAAGAAAATGAAACAGATCAGCAGCAACATGATGTGATTTTTCACAGTGATTATCCTGGTTAGAGATTCATGAGTCTAACAGCCTCGTGGTAGAAGCTGTTCCTCAGTCTAGTGGTCCATTCATATTATCCGTCTCTTCAGTTTGTCTTTAGATGTCTTTTTGTGGACATGTCCAGGGAGGTGGTCCAACTCCCTGGACATGTCCACCTGATAGTCTCTATGTAGTGAACTAGATGACCTGATGATCTGACCCTCATCTGACCCTGATGACCTCAAATCTACCAGATGGACAGAGACTGTTATTTTCATTGATCTGAATAAGTCTGAGCCATCTGATGACTTTCTTTCTTGAATTAATCAAGCAGAAAAGACAATCCTTTATAATCATTACTGTTTTACAAATGTTTGATAATCAAATTGTGTTAGTTTCACTCAATGCTTACAGGTTGAAAAGAACTACTCATTTTTATTTTACATAAACAGTAAGTAATGATTTTTATTCCTCATTCAAAGAAGAAATCACCTGAATATGCATTTCTTGATTTTCTGTCTGAAATGAGCCAAGTCGTAAGTGTGTGAAAGTTGAAGCTTCGGTCAACTAAATGTTTACTGAAGAAGAAATGTCATGTTTAACTATTGGAGAAGATAATCAGAATAGAGGCTCCAAAAAGTCTGGTATTTTGCAATAATCTTTTCTGTAAGTTGAAAACAATTTCATTCTCTGACCTCGACTTTTGATAAACACCTTACGTCAAAACCACTCCTCTTTCTGGTCCATCCACGAATCAGAAAGCTCTGAAGTAAACTCGGAAGTAAACTCATTTAAAATGTGACAACTTCCCGGTTCTGGAGAGTGCAGTTAGTTCTCAAGGAGTTCAGAAGAGAATTCATGGGGAATTCATGGAGTGCAGTTAGTTCTCAAGGAGTTCTGAAGAGAATTCATGGGGAATTCAGAGAGGGCAGTCGGTTCCAAGAGATTCCAGAGAACAGAGTTATGGAGAGTTTTGGAGTTAGAGTCTGAGAAGATCTGAAAGAGTCTGAGAGCTGCTGACAATGAAGAGTCAGAGTTGCCGAGAATCCAGGGACGTTTTGGGATTATAATTCTGTTTTGAACTAACCACGCACGACTCTCCAAGGATTTAGCTGTTCTCAACGGAGACGCTGATATCAGTCTGAAGGATTCTTACTGAGGTGATCTATCGTCAACAAGGTAACGGTTTCTTCTTCGACTAAAGTGTACCTGGAATAAGCTGAGATACCTGATGGGAGCGTGCAATTTCTGGTCAAACAGATTAAATTCCCTCACATATTCCTCTGTAAGATAAATCTCAATTTCCTCTTAAACTCACCTCTCTCTCATAAATCAGTACAGATATTTTTAGAAATATCTGAAGCAAAATCCTCAAATCACCGCCGAGTGATTTGAAGTTCAATATTTGTGAAACTGTTTATTATTATTTTCATATTTTTAAAAAGTTAATGTAAATGTTTGATGTTAAACTTTGATTCTGAAAATAAATGACTCCATTCATTTGATGGGTCAAAGATAATAACGTCTCTCGTTCGCATTTCTGTTAAAATTCAATGCACGACATTACAGTCAGAAAAATGAAGAACTCGTGAAAAGTATGCATAAATATATACCACATATATTTGTCATACAACAAGTGACACGTACCTACGTGACTCACTACACTCTACCTTCAACATGATGTCCATCATTGTATTCCTGTGATTCCTGAGGCAATCTGGCCTCAGCTTCCTGTGGACTGTGTTCATTATGTTACACACCATGATACCAAACAGCCCTGTGACTATCTGTCACCCTTTAACCAAACAGATTAACTACAGACTGAGGACACCTACAGGACACACTGTGATTTAACATGTCCCTGTGGACAGATTACAGGATACACTGTGATCTGACATGTCCCTGTGGACATTACAGGACACACTGCGTTCTAACATGTCCCTGTGGACAGATTACAGGACACACTATGGTGTAACATGTCCTTGTGGATAGATTACAGGACACACCTTGGTGTAACATGTCCCTGTGGACAGATTACAGGACACACCGTGGTCTAACATGTCCCTGTGGACAGACTACAAGACACACTATGGTGTAACATGTCCTTGTGGATAGATTACAGGACACACTGTGGTGTAACATGTCCCTGTGGACAGAATACAGGACACACCATGGTGTAACGTCCCCGTGGACAGATTACAGGACACAACGTGGTGTAGGACAGATTACAGGACACACCATGGTCTAACATGTCCCTGTGGACAGAATACTGGACACACTACGATGTAACATGTCCCTGTGGACAGAATACTGGACACACTACGGTGTAACATGTCCCTGTGGACAGATTAGTTGAACCTTTACTAAAGCTCATTATATTTGTTTGTTTCTTAAATTATTCAGTTGAACCTAAATTGAAACAATTACTAATTTTATTTCTTGATATTTTATTTTGGCACTTTTTTTTTACTATTTTTAATTGAACTAAAAGTGACAGACTCAGGCAGCACGGTGGCACAACTGGTAAAGCTGCTGCCTCTCAGCGAGCAGGTCCCTGGTTCAAACCCCGGTCCAGGGGCCTTTCTGGGTGGAGTTTGCATGTTCTCTCCGTGCATGCGTGGGTTTTCTCCGGGTGCTCCGGTTTCCTCCCACAGTCCAAAAACATGCATGTTAGGCTGATTGGTAACTCTAAATTGTCCCTAGGTGTGAGTGAGAGAGTGAATGGTTGTTTGTCTCGTTTGTCTCTATGTGGCCCTGTGATGGACTTGCAACCCGTCCAGGGTGTACCCCGCCCCTCGCACAGTGTTGCTGGACATGGGCACCAGCGACCCCCGTGACCCAAAATGGAATAAACGGGTAAAGAAAATGGATGGATGGGTGACAGACTCATTTACCTGCATTTTAAAAAATATATTTAAAAATCAATCCTCAAACTAACAAACTCATATTTCTGTGTTCCAGTTAACATAATGAAAAGCAGTAAAGGCACAAGATGGAGGAAACACCGACCCCTGACCTCTGACCCCTGCCAGCCACCACAGCCTTTTATAATCAGAGGGTCAGTTTCAGGACTGCAGGTGCCTCTTTGGTTTGATTAAGCTGAGACATCCACTGCAGGTAAGACTTTAATTGTTCATAACACCTCATAGAACCCCTCTTTTAAAAAATCTCATCTATCCTTTTAAGTAGTTTTCCTTCATTCTAACAGAGATGAGGTGGTCAAACAATGTGTTCAATGTTTATCTTTAACAAAGTAAACAACAATAAAAAAGTGTTTGAACTAAAAAAATTAAATCCAAGTGAAGACAGACGGTAAAAAGTCCGTTCGAACATTTGGTCAGACTGTTTTAGAAAAGTAAAAGTTACAATTTTATTGAAAGGAAACTTTCAGAAAGTCCAGCTGTGGTCAGAGTTCAGCCTGTTTGTTTATTAATTAATAACTTAATTAATATATTTAAAATCAATCAATTAATTAATTAATTTGTTTATTCTTTAGAAAGATTTCAAACTAAACTCTAAATCTGACTTGTTCCATTTTAAATCAAGACGTTCAAAATCAGAAAAGTCCGGGTCTCAGGTGAGCTTTACCTGTCTGAGCAAGAGGTCCGCTCAGCTGACTCAGGTAGAAGAACCACAGGCTCAGCTGGACTCCTCGTGTCCCCATCTTGGTTCTGTCGGGCCTCAGCAGCAGAACTGCTCCTTTTATAGGTGGAGGAGCCGCTGTTTATTCAGGAAACACATATCCAGATGAGCTGCTGCTCCACACCTTCATCGTCCTCCTCCTCCTCCTTAGAGAAGCAGCTTCAGGGGGGAGATGAAACGTTGCTAACAGAGCTTCAGGAAAGAAAAGAACATTTAATAATTTATAATTTTATAATTTCAGGCTCTTAAAGAATATAAAACGATCTGTCATGTTTTGATGCAAATGAAATATTTAAAGTTCTGCTGGGATCCCTTCAACAAATTATTACTATTTACTGACGAGTGTAGTTTCACTTTATAAAAAACAATAATAATAATAAATAAATAATAATAATAATACTTTAATATGGAGTTAATAAAACTTTGTACTATTTAAGAAAACTAGAAAAAAGGTTTCAGTTAACAAAATGTGAAACAGTAATATAAAGAAATTAAATATTTTTACCTTTATAACAGCAGATAATCAGCAACCTTTCATTCCTCTCAGGTACACAGGTGTACAGGTACTCAGTGTACAATTATACAGTTGTACAAGTATACAAATGTACAGGTAAACAGGTATACAGGTACACAAGTGTATAGGTAAACATACGTATAGGTACACAGGTGTACAGGTACACACCTGTATACCAGAACACAAGTGAACAGGTATACAGGTGTACAGGTACACAAGTGTACAGTTGTACACAGGTGCAGGTGTACAGATGTACAAGTACACAGGTGTAAAGGTACACAGGTGTACAGGTGTACACAGGTGCAGGTGTACAGATGTACAAGTACACAGGTGTACAGTTACACAGGTGTACAGGTATATAGGTACACATGTAAACATGTACACAGGTGTACAGGTACAATACACAGGTACACAGGTGTACAGGTACACAGGTGTACAGGTATACAAGTACACATGTACACAGGTGTACAGGTACACAAGTACACAGGTGTACAGGTATACAGGTATACAAGTACACATGTACACAGGTGTACAGGTACACAGGTGTACAGGTA